TATAGAATTGCAGTTTGAGAGTATAATTCGCTTCGCATATTTGAAATTTTAATTACATTACTAATGAGCTAGCAGCGGTACTTTGAACTGAAAATACTTACGTGCTTACATAACGTCATAGTAGGAATAATAAAAAAGCCTTTTGCCCCGACTCCAGGTGACCTAATACTGCAGGTGCCAGAGTTGTGTGCATGGATGTCCGTGGAGCAAATGATACGCTACAGCGATTTTTAACGTAGTTGGGAGTAATTTTCTATCTTTATTGGGCGCAAAACTTAATTTTTTGTATATGTTCGCTAGCACTGCCCTCAAACACTTTCAGTTTCTATCTAATGGTTATTTGATAAAAAATGCCATACGTTATTTAGTTCGCTATTTGTGCAAATTTTATTGTGTAATAAAGAATTTAAAAAAATACATAGTATAATGGACGGATTTAATACTAATAGCGTGTTCTTTCAGTCAAATCTCAATGTTATGCAGAACTTCTTAAATATTGTTTAGTATAGTAGTACTTATAAGCAAGTTGTAATTTTTAAGCGACCTTCAATAAGCCGCCGTTTTTTTATATGGAGCAAAAAGCTACTCGTATCGAAGTGAAATTGATTTGTGACATGCTAGTAAATGTGCGAGCTGTTATTCAATTGTAAGACGAAACTTTGATGAACATTTAGGTACTGCATAATTTTGTAAAAAATTTAATTGTATTTAATATAGTATAATAAAAACTCAAGACCACACGAATTACATTGCATTTTATATATAAGCAGTGATATTACATTAAATTATTAAGATTTCATCGAGGTATTTATTTGATAATAATAGTGTTGGTAACTGTACATGTCTACTTTGTGATATATTAATTAAACCTGTATAAAAAATGAAACTGCAATTCCCAAAGAGGGTTGACGTCAGGCAGCCAGCCGGTCGTAAAACTATAAGCCAAATCGTTTTGTAATATGCATTAAAAAAACATATTACACCGTCCCCAAATAATAGTTGGGATAAGTATAGGACGATGATGATAAAAATGAAACTATAATATCAAGCTTTTAAAAATAAAGGGAGGGCCCGATCCGACGAATTTACTGCAGCCTTCAAATGGTACAGTTACGCCATTGTGTTTTAGTTAAAAAAATTTAAATATTAGTTTTCTAAAATTTCATATTATAATGCCACTGTAAAATACTAATAGGTACTGATCGTTTATCACTTGGGCCAACTATGACGGGGCCAAGTTTTAATAGTCAAATGTTGACGTTCGTTAATTGTCAAAGTTCCTATGCAAATGTGCCGAGTAATTGATTAAATATACAGTATAAATGGTACCGACGTATCTATTAGGTTTTGCGCGTGCCATCGTCTGCTTATACTTACTGCCCGATTTATTGGTATGTGGAGTTACGTGTTAATTTTAGACATTACATATTAAATTTTATCGAAATCCTTTTAGCTGTTATTGAGTAATTCGCTATGTGATCCTTACTTAAAATGGATCAAACCTTTCTTTCCTGTATCGAAAGAGGCGATTAAGGAGACTTAATGATCAAGAGATAGACAGTAACATTCCCCGTAGAATATCAGCAAAGCCTTACTGCAGTTGTCGACTCGCCAGCCAAGCGTGGCACTTACTGTCAAAGCTCCCCTTATGGGGAAGGCCTATGTTCAGCAGTGGACAGTTAACGGCCTAAAATTATAAGTATTTGGGTAAGAATTTAAATAAATTCACAAACATTTACATTTACTATAAAATTAGACTTTTAAGTGAAGAAGAACATTCTATTGGTGAAAGATCGCATTCATGGACCATATTATATATCCCTGAGTTCGCCCAGGATGATGTGGTTAATGTGGTGTTATTATAAAAAAAGTTAGCCATTTTTACGAAGCAAAATACAGTTGTTTAGTTTCCTTTTCACTGGACAGAGACTGGATCTAATAGGTTATAAGTGATGATCCTAAGAATATTGGAAGACTGCCAGTAGGCGCCGAGTAGCCACTCGAATTTTGATGACGTTTGCAATTTTCCCCTTCTGTTGTGAAAAATGTATCGCTCTAACAAAGTAGTTAAATGAAAAATCTTTAATTCAAGTATTGGTAGTTTGCTTGGGCAAGCGCCCAAAAGAAAAAAAAAGGTCTTTCGTACTCATAATTCTATGTAAACAGCAGCACAGCTGTTTCATGACAAAATTACTAAATGCTCATGCACAGAGATGATGTGTGCTATTTTGGTTCAAAATATTGTATCATCATCACTATATCAGCCATTAATTGTCCACTATTGAACATAAGTCTTCCCACGAGAGGGGTTACGAAATAGAAATTTTGTATATACCATATTAATTCAGAAAATATGACGTTTTGGGTACTTATAAATTGCCAACCATTAAGAATTTCGTTGAAATCATGGTAGTTGGGTACGCCTGAAAGTATATTGTACATTCGAAAACATTACCCACTGTTCTTCAGCAGTCGGGTAAAAAATTTACCTAATTTCAGAGATATTATTCGTCGGAAGTTCCTCCAAGCAGCCAATTAATCCGCAGCGAATTGCGAGTAGATAGTAGAAGGATAGTATAGAACAAATTAAATTTAGATTGAATTTTAATGTAATTTCCTTAAATCTAAAGTGATTAATTCAGCTGTTGATTTGAAAATTGAGCTATTTTCTTGTTTGACGTGAATCAATTAATTTAAGGCTTGACCTAACTGAGTGTAAATCACCCTTATCCATTTTGGATGGAAGCCAATGTACCTGTAAAACAATATTGTTTAAAAACATATTCTTGTGCTTTGTCTTTCTTGTAAAATTGTGTTTGGAAAATTCATGAGAAATTATCAAGATTTTATAGAATTTAAATTTATTTGTTAACCAATGCTCTTATTGCAAGGATAAAATAGGATATTAAAAATGAGTAGCATTTTTCATCTGTTGTCATTGTGGTGAAAGTAGCACTCGACTTAACTTCACATTGTCGAGCAGATGTGATTTATTTCTAGCTTGCATTCAAAACTCCTTAATTTTGCTTGTGTTTAAGTATATCGTCTCTTGAAGACATTTTTTTAAATGTGAATTACTATTGAGAGATCGTAGTTCATGATAGTGCATCCATTATCATTATGTATGTAGTAAGGTGAAGTCAGGTTAGTGGGCCCACCGTGATATTTTCATCAGGAATTAACAACGGTAGTTCCCAGGTAGTAACCACCACACGGTTCAATTGGAAACTATACAATACCACCCAACTATCGTCGGTTGACCTGACACTATATTTTCGTAGCTATGGAAAAGCTGGCATGGTTTACTAATTATTATTCATTAAACTCTTGTTCCAAAACGTTTAAACTTTCAAGTGGTTATAATGTACGTATTGTTGATTCGCTTGCAATAATAAAAATGTATCTTTGTTAATACCAAGTCCTTTTAAGGGGTGTCCAACTAGAATGAAACGCTAAAACTTTACTTTTTCTTCATTCAGATCCAGGGATTCTTTTTTTAAATTTTATTTTACATTCTGAAATTCAAATGTTATGAGTTATGCTCTGAAATGAACCGTCTTTAGAGTACATAAGAAACAGCACAAAGTCGACATTATTAAAACGTATGTACTTACCTAAAATATGCGTGTGATACAATGTCTGTCGTGCGTGTAACCGTGACTTAGCTTACGTTACTAGATCATGCATAATGTATACGCCGCTTTATTGTCTCAAATCTCACCTTCTATGTACGTTACATAACAGTGGTTGTAAAACACTGATTCTATAACTGGGTTAGGTGCCACGTGCGTCGTACGGCCACCGGTGTCAGGTGCTCCCGTATAATAGCGCCGTAAATTCATAGTACACAATTTCTTACGACATTGTTTCGACGTATTCAAAGAATATTGATTATAGCTGTCCTGAATGTTCTATCGAATGTAAATGTATCCGTACTCTTTGTAGTCTTTTTCATTATTTTTAATATTTCACAGATTTATAACGTTCATATGTTTTCTGGTCTTTGGTTATTGATCCTGGTCGAGGACAAAACTATACATTTGTGTAGATATATCGTAACGTCTTATCGGGTACAATATCATGAGAGACAATTAACTTATATAAATTGTATACATTTATTGAAATAGGGTATATGAAAACAAATATTATATATCTTATATATAATAGACGATACATTAAGGTAAATCTCTATTGTACTTAATAAAATTATTAATCATATGAATTTCAAATGTTTTATTATGTTCCCGCATGTTACTAATAACTAATTCGATTTGGTTATTAAACTTGATAAAAAAAAAATATATTTACATTATTATTATTATAGGATACCTATATAAATAATAAACCAGTCCTGAGCAAAACTCGTTTCCCTATCTTCCCCCTAGCGTACTCATAGCAAAATGCCGAGTGTCATTTCTTTTATAATATTTCTTTATTGTTTAAATGGTACCATTCTGCTAATTGTGGCTGCCAGCTTTATTCTCAGTAATTATTCGGTCTCTCCGGTGTAATTTAATTTAATTTTAATATGCCCTTGCAAATGAGACCCTTCTGTATAACTGTACTTATTTAGGGAGCTATAAATAGATAAAGAGTAGGAGCATTTTTGATGTGCAGCTGCTTAGGTGCTTTTGGACTGGGATTTTGTTCTCAAAATGGTATTCGTCTAACGCCTCAAGATATTTAAATGTGAACCATATTAAAATTTTATATTGGCAATAGAATCGGTAGGGTTATCATTCCATTTTCATCCGGTTAAAAATATTTTGTTAATATTTGTTTTCATCAAAGAATTTAACTTGAAATTTTGTCTATGATTTTGAAGAAATATGTAAACGAGTATATGTTGTATTATTATTTAAACCGCCATCAAGTATCTCTGCACATCCTAAAGGTTGACTGGTAGAGAATGCTTATAGCACTAAGTCCGCTTTTTGTACCACAAATTATTGATCAATAAAGTTTGAATAAATTATTTATGAATGTATTTTTTGTTCTAGGTTCAGGGAAGTCATATACGATGATGGGGGCCCCGGGACCTGATGAAGGCGGCATTATTCCAAGATTATGTGACGCGCTGTTCGAAAGGATCGCTGTTCAACAGTCACCACCAGCGCTCACTTATAAGGTGAAATAATGTGAAAAATAAATAAATAAAGATAATATGCTCTCTAATGAGGTTGTTATAGGTGTATTTCAATAGTCGTTATTATGGTGAACATAACACCCAATATATTCACAGTTCATATTCATTCCATCAGGTGGGCCGTCAGCTTGTTTGTCATTCTAAGTTGCATAAAAAATATAGACACATAAAAAAGTTAATTCGAAGTAGCTATAAAATATTTGTCAAATGACCATGAAGTTTTATCAGTAACAAATATTATGAATCATTTAACACATATCAGTATACATACAAAATGTATGGCGCAGTATATTTATTATTGTACTGTTGACAAGTGGATATAACAAGCTATGTGTGTAAGTATTGATAGAATACAAATAGAGAGGATATAGTTACTGTCCGTGATTGTCATACACTACCAATGTTGAGAATTTAAATACCCTTACTAATATTAGAAATAAGAAAGTGAATTTGTTTGTTACCTTATAGCGCCTTATCGGCTTAACCATTACTATGAAATTTAGTATACACGTACTATATGGGATGGTGAAGGATTTAAGCTGATTTTTAAACTAGTCTGTAAATATATCCCGGTCACGCGTACGAAGTCGTGGGTAAAAGCTAGTTATCAAAGAGTACAGAGTAAACTCCACTGTCAAATATCTCTATTTTTTTTTAAATTAAAATATCAAATTAAGATTAATATTATATAATAATTGGTAACACCCTGATTCTCCTACCGCAATATCATCATCATATCAGCCATTAGCTGCCTCCTGCTGAAGATAGGCCTTCACCTATTGAGGAGTTTTGCCAGTAGTTGCCACCCTTGATAAGCGGGTTGGCAACTGCAGGTTGTCTTTGGTGATGTTTAAAGAGGGATGCGGTTGCTCATCCCTCAACCGTTAAGTTCCCTAAGGTGCCTCTTACGACATCCAAGGGAAGAAATAAGTGGCGTATTCTATGCCGGGACTACATGACGAATACTACTAGCTTAATATATTAGCTGTAATACACTGTTTATCTCGTATCAATTAAAAAATACCTCAAATATTATCCTAAAATATGATTCATCCTCGTATTAGATTTAATAATTACGCATGATTGAGTAATAAACATCCAGACTTCATATTATCACATAATATTGAGTAGGATGTGAAAGTTTGCAACACATAAACCATGGGCGTTATAATGTCGTTGTCCATGGTACTATTTCTGTCCATAAACAACGGTTACAACTTTCTATCAGGTGGGCAGTTAGCTTATTTATTTTCTCTTCATTGCACTATTAAAAAAATAATGAATACAGTAAATATTAGAAATGATACAAAAGACGGCCTTGTCGCTAAGCAATCTCTTCCAGACAACGTATTTTAAACTTGTGTTATTTGCATAAAAAAAATAGGATAGTTTTAATTTTTTTTCTAGCTCACGCGCAAAGCCGTAGGATTTTATATGGCTAGTGCTAAATAATTTAAAATTTTTCAAGGTGGAGGTGTCGTATATGGAAATATACAACGAACGGGTCCATGACCTCCTGGATCCAGAAACAACGAGGAGATCCCTGAGGGTGCGGGAGCATGCGGTCCTGGGCCCTTATGTCGATGGCCTATCACAACTGGCTGTCACATCTTTTCACGTAAGTTGATCTTTTTGTATGTATATGGTATTATGAAATATGTTGTCTATAAATTCTATGAAGTAAGACAGTTCTGATTATACGCTAAAGCGTTTTGCGGCTTTCTTCATCATGTGTGCAGCCAAAGAACTTTGGAACTCTGCCTACTCTGAACTCTGCCAATTTAAGGCAAATGTGAATAGGCTATTTATTCGTGGACCCGCTAGCCCCATCTTAGACCATATCATCGCCTTTCATCAGGTGAGATCGTGATCAATCGCGGAACCCTTCAATAGTAAATAAAAAAGATTTCTTAAATTCTTTATTCTAAGTAATTAACTATTGTTTAGTACAATCAATACAATTTATTATTAGTACTTATAGAGGCCATAATAAATTATTACTTACACTTTTTGTTATTGACGAACATGGAATAGTCACCCCGCCTGTGAAATCGGCTTACAGGGGTGGGGTACCAGTATGGAAGAAGATATCTAGAAGGGATCGCATAGAGGTCGATCTTTTAGTCTACATTGCTAGTAATTGGTCTACTAATCCGAATTACTAACGATCACTATCCCAGCATTATACTTAAATAAAAAAAAATCTATAATATTCTCTATAAATTAGATTTTTTTTTTTAAATATATATAGGTATAATATGATTTTTTTTTTTATTATAGACACTTCTAATACATTTGCAAATGTTGTAGAATCTATTGTCTAAGTTATTGCACAGGTTAACTAAATTATCTATCAGCGTTTTTGTAATTTTGTATCTTTATGCACTGCAATAAGGTCCATAGTCCTTTCTTTCATTGCCCTATGTTTGATAGACTTTATTGTCTGAATATTCCATCCACTAGTGCATTACATTTGTGCACTAGATATGTTTACCAACAACCAGAGACGTCCCGCTGCGCTCTGGAACTAAGTACACACGTCTTCTACAGCAATGCATTTCACGTCTCCTTGATTTAGGTAGTTTTGTAGTTCTGTGTAATTAGAATATAACATATGTACTTAAAGTACATACATTTCATATATACATAAAAATGCGAAACTATATATTGTGCTATTGGGAATAATGTATAGATCTATATTTCAAGTGTATTTTAAATGACAAAAAAAAAATACTAATATTTATTGCTTTGCAAAATATTTGAATTCAGAACAAGCACAAGCGTCATAAAATTAAAAATGACGTAACACGGATGTGAACCCTATCGATTACAAAGACAACTGTGAAAATCTGCGGAGTAATTGTGTAACAGAGCCCCCAAAAATTCAGATAAAGTAGAACCTTCTTCTTTTGAAAGTCGTTCGAGAAAAGATTTAATGATATAAAGTAACAAGGAGAACTGTACATTATTTTATTTTTATATATTCTTTTTATCTGTGTCATTAAAGAGGCGTCTTTATTCAATAATTATAAGATAGAAAAAATCTCACTCTTTCTTTGTTTGGTAAATAATGAAAAAAGTTCCATATCAAAATAAAACCATACAAAATACCTTTAGATGTTTGACAATATAGTTGTAATATCTTCTACCGTTACAGTCAGGTCCGGGACCCAAGGCCCTAATTACGGTCCTTCGTCGCTCATTATGGACTCTAACCTCCGACCCTAGATTTAATTTCAGCTGTGTATTCCACAGCCTTAAAATGTTGACACACAATGTTTGTACGGGTATTAAACACACGAAAATGACTTTTTTTGCAAATTACTTTATATGCTTGAAACAGATTTAATTTTCTTTTATTTTTCTAAAATTTTTATGCTGGTATGTATATATTGAATAAAAATTTATTTTTTCTGGTATATTATTTCTGGTTCTTTCCTAAACAGCATCTACTTTCATTAAAATACGTACAAAATTTTCCCCTTGGGTTGTTAAAACTCAATCATTTAAACCGCAATGTTTTAAATGTAAATTCAAATGAAACATTCAAAAAAGGAACAGGAATAACAATATAAAGCAATAGACTGAAAATGAAAGGGATTATTTATGGAAACTTCGAAGCGGTTATTGCCCAACAAAAATTGGTCCGTACTAGATAAAATCAGTTACTTCGCCGATTGGTTGTTCTGACAGCTTCATTATGTTAGCTTAAGAGTGCCCGGAGGCTTAACGGGCGCCGTTCCTCCTCGGCCTTCGATGCTCCAATCATTTCGCATCGAAGTCATTTAATTTTGACAAGGGCAAGGAATTGCTAAGGCGTAAGATGTCGATCCAGAATTTCAACTCCCGAAAGTTGCAAATAATAAAGTTAGTCAACATTACCCGTCACAGCGTCTTTGGTTACTTAAAACGGTTGGTATTTGTGAAGTACGGATAAAACTTTATTATTTCCTGATAAGTATTTTAGTCGCATTTTATTTATAGGTTTCTACTGTACTGTGGTGTACTATAGCTATGTCCGTGACTTTGTTCACGTGGACGTTCGATAAGGCGAAATTATTCTGAAGATGTAGCGCGTATCTAGAATATTGTATATATTCTTAATATTGTATATTTTGTAATAGTGTATTATGTTAATTCTGTTTTCTTTTTTTTGTGAACTGATTGGAATGAAACAAAAACACAAAATGTTAGGGGAAACTTGCTACAATACATCAGTGAAAACCGCATTCGAATCGATCAAGCAGTTTCTGAGATTAGCGCATAGACAAACAGGCAATTCTAAAAGATGTTTTTTGACCTAAGTAATATAAGTATAAAGATTATAAATAGGCTTTTTTTTAAATATTGAATGCACATACACGGTTCGTTTACAATTTTATAAGCTATTCTATTAATTCTATATGTATAGATAAAAAGTTGCAAAATTAACCTTTATAAGATTTCTTGTGCATCTGTCGATTGTCAAAAAGTTTGATCAACCTAGTGAATCTCTATTATTTCCACAACTTCTTCTATATTCTTCAAGTAGTTCAACATCTGGGTATAACAACAGTTTTGTTAGTTGAAAACCAACCTAATTTGTTCTAGTTCGTATTCTGTGGTTTTTATTCTTATTTATTCTTACAATCTTTAAGGTTAGAACGAATTTAAAATTCAAGGTAGCATATTCCGGTGAGACGCAATGATTTAAAACATGAAAGTGTATATGTTTGTAAAACATCCTTTTATGCTGTTTCCGAAGCTAAAATGTTTATATTTAATTTATACTAGTTTTTACCTGCGGCGCGGTGGCTTTTGGCCACAATAGAATATCAGTGTTTTGCTCTTTTGAAAGCAAAGTAATAAACTGAGTTATGACCATTTTGTGTTAGTGTGGCAAACTCACGAAAAATTATATTACCCTTTTTTGTATACGTATTTTTTTATTTCTTTGAGTATCCACTAATATCTGTTGTTATTTGTGTGCTGTAAGTAATGCAAATAAATTATATATCTATTTATCTATCTAATCTGAATAAAAAATTGCCTATGTTTTTCTCCATCCCAAAATTTCTGGACAGTACGTAGACATACCAAATTTCATAACGAGTGGTCGACTCATTAGGCGTCAAGTGGTAACAAACAAACGAACTCAAATTTCGCTTTATAATATTAATAAGGCCAAATTTATTTGAAAAAAAAAAACTTAAAAATATTATTATATTTTTTAATTTATTAAAATTATTGAATTGATATTCAAACTTAGTGCGTACAATTGTAATGTACGTCGATGTCAACGAATGTTTACTGCCTTACGGATTATATCGAGTAACTCTAGTTACACAAAATCGATTCCACCGTTATCTATCCGAGACGATGAATAATTCATATTAAAAGGTATCTGATACAGCTCATGAGTCGACTGCTTTTGTTTTGCTCGATTTAACACGAGATTTAAATATACATCTCTGTTGATCGATGTGAAGGACAGGGGTCGTTTTTCACTTTACCGCATTTACCATTTTTACGATCTCACAATAAAAGCGTTAAGTGGAACCCCACGGGAAGCTCGTGATGTGCATTTATTTTATTCATAGCGTGTCATACTTGGCGAAAAAAATGTTTGCAAGTTTTTTATATTCAGATAAGATGTCAGGATCATTTTTGGAAAATTCAAATTTAAAGAATGAATAAATGAGTGCACTATAGTCATATTGCATTCATGTAAATACAATAAGTCCCCCATATTGCAAAAATAAAGTCTTTCAAGCCTGTAATTGACATATCATATTCAAGCCTGATAATGAATTTTATTTTCATTTAAAAAGTAGGAATTCAAATAAAAGTAAACAAAAGTGAAATTGAATAAAATCAGGAAAGTAATTACGAGTATATAATTGTTTGTTAAAAATAAATTTAACCCTTTTAGTCTTTTGAGCAGTGAAATTAAAGGTCAAAATTTATATGAAAGTGATACCGGGATACATGTATCTCAATTATTGAGTACTTGGGGTTGATTTTGGGATGCATGCATGATGCATGCAGAGTTAAATTTGTAATTAATGTTTGAAACATTATTACTACTCTGAAACGTGCATTTTGTTTAATTATGCGCATTAAAATAGTTCTTACTATATGAATGACTGAATGAGTATACTTTATTTGCATTATAGAATATAGGGAATAAGCAAGACAATTATTAAAATCAAATTCAAAACAAAAACGAAAAAGAAAAACATATTTCAGACAACAAGATCTATTTTGTTAGTTACTTACTACTTAAAATTACGTTAGTGAAAAAGGTTATAATTTCTATCACAGAATATAAAGAAACTGGTCCTTTTTTATTATTAATGAAAAGGATATTATATTTGCTTTAATATGCAAGACCTTTCGTTCAAAATTTGCAATGTATTTCTAATGTTTCTGTTAGATTGTGTTCAAATATGGCGTACTTATGTAATTTTGGTTACATTATAATGGTACCATCGAGTTGGTCTGATGATGAAGATGTAAGATGGCCATAGGAACTCGTGAACTTTATATGATAACTCCGTCGTATTTGGGTTCATTTGACTTGTCTTGACAGTAAATATAACCCTGTGTAGTACCCAGAGTTTGATGATTAAGCTTAAA